ATGTTTATGAGTACACATATGCCAGGGCCTGTGGAAGTCAGGAGAGGGTGTCAGATGTCCCAGAGCTGGACCCGTAGGTGGCTGTGAGCCACCAGTGTGGATGCTGGGAATGACCTAGGTCTTCTATAGAGCAGCAAGCAAGCACTCTTGAGGGCTAATCCATGGCTCCAGCCCTTGTTTTATTTATTTATTTTTATCTTTAAAATGTCTTTCTTAGGCTGGGCAGTGGTGGCGCATGCCTTTAATCCCAGCACTTGGGAGGCAGAGGCAGGCGGATCTCTGTGAGTTCGAGACCAGCCAGGACAGGATCCAAAACCACAGAGAAACCCTGTCTTGAAAAACCAAAAAAAAAAAAAAAAAAAAAAAAAAACCCCAAAAAAGTCTTTCTTAGCTATATTATTTTAATATTTTTTGATTCACATAATTAATTGAGAGCATAGGCTGTGTGACTGTTTCAAACACAGTGAGAAACATGAATGAAATACAGTCAACGTCTCAATGACCATGAATCACAGAGATGGATACCAGATGCAGATTAATGAGTACCTAGTTTGTACTGTTGAAAACATCCAGTGGTAATTGTTCAAACATAGAAGGAAAGACATCATTTAGGACCCTTGCGAAGGTACAAGGGCCGCTGCAAGGGGACTTAAAGTGGGGGAGAGAGTGGGACCGACGGCCCCAACTGCATTGCCAAGGACAGCACAGAACTAAGGAGCATGTGTGGGTGTCCGTGAGCCGGACATTACTAAGGGGGAGTGTGGTTAAATCCACCTAGCAGGGTTCTTCCTGAAGAGGGAGCAGACCGATGGGAATCACCTGGCTGTGGCGAGGATCAGGAGCCTGATTAGACCCCCAGGAAAGGGTGTCTGGCTCAACACGTCCCAGGATTCTTTGCTAAAGCTGGAGTTTATGAGGGAACGCAGAGGGGAGAGGAGAAAGGTCAGAAGGCCGACTAAAGTTTAGTCAAGCAAAGAATCCTTGTCAGTGCCACGCTGTAAATATTTTGAACAGCAAAAGTTGACTGACCACAGGCTAAATGCTCTGCGCACACCATTTAATCAACCCAGCACAATAACTAGAATATCACCACATGTATAGACATGCAATAACATAATAATTTACCAAAGTGACTTGCAAATTGGATGTTCAGCGTTCACACAGTAATGTCTCTAAGCCACGACTACTGTAAATATTGTAAGAAAATATTTACACACACAAGATAATCCAGATGAATTTGGCACCTTCATTTTGAAGCCCTGCTAGGCACAGAACACTGACTTGTATCACCTGGTGCCGTCATCTCAGTGTGGTCACTGCATCCTAACAAGAAAGTGCCATCCACACTGAAGAGCAAAGGGCTGTGGAGTCGGAGGAGGGAACTGAATGCTGGCTGGAGAGAACCAGAGATCGCGTGGACCGAAGACAGCTGTGATTTAGTCATGGTGGCTGAAGATGTCACGGTGGAAACTGACCCGGAAGGGTGGTACACAAGTGCTGGAGCCCAGCTGGAGAAGACATGAGGCTCGGTAGGTTTAGTGGCCACAGCTGGGAGCCGCAATCGTAAGTGGAAGCCACCAGGGGAACAGAATACATACTAGATGAGGTTTCCGGTAAGGCTTCAGGAGAAAGGACATTCGGGGGATCCCATGGTGCTGCGGCCCCGTGGGTCACAGAGCAGAGTCTAGGGTTAGCTGCTAGGTGTGTGTGTTAAGGGGCAGGGAGAACGAGGGCCTGCCGGGGGGGGGGGGGGGGGGGGGGGGGGGGGGGGGGGGGGGGGGGGGGGGGGGGGGGGGGCAGTGGAGCTGTCAGAGTCGGGGGGTGGGGGAAGAGGTCAGTCAGGCCCCAACGGCCCCTCCAGTTCTAAAAGCTGAAATGATGAATGGACCGGGCCAAGTGTTATGGAAAAGCCACAGCCTTTGTGTTTTGGTGTGACCTGAAGTTCGGGATCTGGACAGTGTCTGCCTTGCTTTGGGGCTTTCTTCTTTCGGGAAGAAGAGAGCTTTAGCACAGAGGACCCACACTTAAGAAGCCCTGGAGAAAACAGGTTTGTAAAAAAGAAAAAGATGTGGGGAAAATGTTTTATCGTATGTTTTTAAGGTAAACTACATGGTGACGGATGAGGTCTCTATAGAGATAAAAAGTAGGTTACTATGGAGAAGAAAATTAGCATGTTTATAGATCACATGACTGCTCTTTTTGTTTCTTTGGCATGAGCAGTGAAAATATATTCGTTTCATATGAATTTCAAACATGGCTTTTCATTTTGTGTGTTCCCAGGTTGTTTATCAGAGCCCAGGCTTGTTCGTTTTATGTGTCTGCCGCTGGGGATCCTCATCTGTAGCCACCGTTTCCTTTGTTCCTCTCCAACCTCGGGTCACCACTGAGCTAGTCTCTATCACACACACACACACACACACACACACAGAGAGAGAGAGAGAGAGAGAGAGAGAGAGAGAGAGAGAGAGAGAGAGAGAGAATTATTTACTTTAGCCTAATGTCCTCCAGGCTCATCTCTGTTGTGGCACATAGCAAGATTGAATTCTTTTTTAAGGCTGAATAACACTCCATTGTAAATATGTTACAAATTTTAGCCATGTGTCTATCAACAGACACATTCTTTCCACATCATAGGTACTCTGGAAAACCCAGCAGTGAGCATGGGGCTGCAGAGAGCTGTAGCAGGTAGGGATTTCCGTTCCTCTGTGTATACTCCCAGAAGAGAGGCCTGCTGAGTATATCCACGAGTCATGCTGTTGACTTAGAGAAGGGATGGACTCCACGCTGTGATAGTTGTACCAAGCTGCATTTCTAGCAACAGCACAGACCGGTCCCCTTCCCTCCACCCTCCCCAACAATTGGGGTTTTCTTTTTTGTTAGTGTTTGTTTGTCTTGCATTGCCGTTTTGTGACAATAACTATCCAGCTAGGGATAAAGTGGTGATCTCACAACCATTTGGTTTGCATTTCCCCCCCATGATGCCAAGAGACATTTATAGGCCTGTTTGTGTGACATTGGTACCTTTTAGGAAAATGCCTAGCCAGGTCTTTTGTCCGTTAAGAATTCAGAGTAGTTATTTTTCTAGTTGTTGGAGTTATTTATAAATTCTGGGCAACAGTCCTTTATCAGTCATGTAATTGGCAAATACTTTCCTGGATCTGTGAGGGGTTGTTGACTGTTGCCCTTGGCATACAGAAATGTTTTCATTTTATATTGTCCCATTTATTTATTTTTGCTTCTGTGGTCTGAGCTTTGGTGGAACGTCCTAGAGAAGCGTCACTAAGGTCGATGACAGAACTTTGTCCATTTTCACTTTTTGGGAGCATGAGAGTGTTTCTGGTCTTCCCTTTGGGTCTTTATTGGTTCCTGGTTAGTTTGTGAAGTAGGCTACCTGTCCAGTTCCGTTCTTTAGATTTCAAGATCCCATTTCCCTCACAGCACACACTGAAACACCCCCTTGATCCTCTGTCCTCATAGTTCCCTTCTCAGGATTCCTGACTTCATGTTTGGAATTCATTTCTGGATTTCCACTAGTTTGTATGTCTGTTTTTAATGCCAGTACCATGTTGTTTTGATTACTATAGTTTTGTGAGATAGTTACAAAACAAGAGGTGAGATGTCCCCAACTTTGTGGCAAATGACAAGGTTTTAACATTTGTTTTTTTTTTCTCAGAATTGTTTGACTACTATGGCTTGTTTATGTTTCCTTATGAATATTAAGAAACTTTTTCTATGAATGCTATTGGGATTTTGTTTGGATTAAATTTAAAATTACTTTGAATGGTATAACAATACTATGAGTTTGTGATATCTTCTAGTCCATTTATGTTTCCATCAATTCATTTTAATTAGTGTTTTATAGATCTTTGGTTTTCCTACTATTTTTGATGCTATAAAAATGAGATTTTTTTCTTGACCCAATATCTCCCTCTCCTTTCTTACTTTCTGAGGTAGAATACATGTAGCCCAGGCTGGCCCCTTACTTGCTATTACACCAAGGAAAGTCATGCTACTGGGAATCAAACCCAGGGCTTCTTGCATGAATGCTTCACTCAGACAGAGGGGGATAATCTTGCAGCAATACAGGAGTGTTCCCCACAATCTCCCCAGCATAAGTAGTCATCAGTGTTTTTGATCAAAGACCTCAACCTAAAGCCAACCACACTGAACCTCATAAAAGAGAAAGTGGGAAGTACACTTGAACACACTGGCACAGGGGACCACTTCCTAAATATAACCCCAGCAGCGCAGACACTGAAAGAAACAATTAATAAATGGGTCCTCCTGAAACGGAGAAGCTTCTATAAAGCAAAGGACATGGTCAACAAGACAAAACAGCAGCCTACAGAATGGGAAAAGATCTTCACCAACCCCACATCAGACAGAGGTCTGATTTCCAAAATATACAAAGAACTCAAGAAATTGATCATCAAAAGAACAAATAATCCAATAGAAAAATGGAATACAGACCTAAACAGAGAACTCTCAACAGAGAAATCTAAAGTGGCTGAAAGACACTTAAGGAAATGCTTAACATCCTTAGCCATCAGAGGAATGCAAATCAAAACAACTCTGAGATTCCATCTTAAACCTGTAAGAATGGCCAAGATCAAGTCCAATGCTTCTTTACTGATTTATTTTACTGGTGGAACTGTTCACCATCAAAAAGGAGCCACAAAGCTTCTGATTACCTTGCCATTCTTCTCTCCTTAGTGCTTCTTCCTATTATATCCTCATACACTCCAGTGTTGAGTGTGTTTATATCCTCTTTATGCGTTGACTCCTTTATTATTGAGTAGTGGCCTTGTTTATGCTTTATGCTTGTTTACTTCAAGACAACTTTATTAGACACAAACATAGTTACCTGGTCTTTTTTGGTCAACATTAACCTGAAACATCCTTGTCCCCTTCATCCTGGAACCCCTAGTAAGGAGACCTTTAAAAGCAGGCCTGTTATAAGTAGGGCCGCTTGTTGGTTTCTGGCTGCTCAGCCCCAAAATAACCACACAGATACTGTATTATTTAAAACACTGCTTGGCCCATTAGTTCTAGCTTTGGGGCTAACACTTACTTGTTAATTTAACCCATTTTTAGTAATCTGTGTATCACCACGTGGCTGTGGCTTACTGGGTAAAGTTCCATCCTGCGTCTGTCTCTGGCGGGGCTACATGGCTTCTCTCCACTCCACCTTCCTTCTCTCAGCATTCAGTTTAGTTTCCCCCACTTAGCTAAGTTCTGCCTTGCTATAGGTCCAAAGCTGTCTTTTATTAACCAACAGTATTCACAGCATACAGAGGGGAATCCCACATCACAGGCTCTCCAGTTCGAATTGAAAACTGTACCGAGCATGACTGGCTCGGGGTGGGAAGGGTGCTGAGTTCTTTTCTGCAACTCCTATCTGACAATTCATGGGCTGGGTCCCAGGACATGGCGGGCAGGGTGGCTTCCCCTTATGCAGCTGCCAGTCAAAGCCTTATGACTGCTCGTGGTCAGGGCCGAACGATCATACATAGCATTTTGGCCTGGAGCTGGGCTTCTCAGCTCAATCCATCTACCTTACTAATCCTCGGGGGTCCATTGTTTCCTCCTCTTCCTGTGTCAGCCTTGTTCTCTGACAGTAAGGTCTGTGTTGGCCTGAGGGCGAGATGCTGTATAGCTTTGCAGACCTATGAAGGGCTCATTTTTCCTGGACACCCATCCATTGCGCCTTCTTTTCCCATCCAAAACTCAACAGTGCCGAAGAGGAGTATAATTCGTGTGATAGCCCCTTTGTCCTTGGGACTGCTGCAGGAGCAGAGGATACCATGAAGAAGGAGTAAGCACCACAATGCATATTTGTTCTCGATGAGCTCTGCCGGCCCCTCTGGCTCCTGTCCCCGCCATGCTTCCTGCTCTGGGCCCCAGCATGCTGCACTGAGCCCACTCCTCTCCTGCGCTCTCATCCGGTTTTGGCGTGGCGAATGGGAACTTGTGGTAGCAGATTGGGTAGAGGACAAAGAGGAACATCACAGTGCTTGAGTCTTCAGCCTCACAATGCTGGGTCACTAGGCAGCAGCTGTATTGTTTTAGGGTAGCATCTACCAATGGTCCTCTCTTACAACTGCAGTCACAGCCACAACCACACCTGTTACAGCCACAACTACAATCACTGTAACCACAAGCACACGAGGCTGCAAACATGATCGTTACCGCTGCAGCCACAATCACAGCTCTTAACTATTACTGCTTTCTCTGGGATTATAACGCTACCCTCACCTCCCTCTCTTTGCCCCTGAAGTGGTAATTGCTTCCTTATTTTTTTTTCCGGTGTTGGGATACTTCCAGCTCTTTCAATGGCTCCCTTCTACAAGTCTGTAGATAGCTCCTCTTACCAAACGGCCCTCCATTCTCTTAGCTGAGCGCAGCCCCCCATTGTGACACTGTCTGTTCATCACCACCACACTGTATGTGTTCTGCATAATGACTCCTAACACCACTGATGTGCAAACTGAAGCTAACTAACTTGTCTAAGTTTATTCGGTTAAGACAGGGCTGTAGTTAACAGGTTGGGCTACTTAACAAAAGAAATATGTTGCTTGGCCAGACTCAAACTGCAATGTGGAAGGCATATTTGAGTAGTTGTGGTTTTGGAGCAAAGAAAAAAATTGGGATTGTCTAAGCGAAATAAATAAAATATTAGTCACATCAATGGTAGCATCCAGATTTTGGAATGACCTCAGTATTTTCTGAAAAATAAAAGACTAAGAGGGTGTGTGTGTGTGTGTGTGTGTGTGTGAAAGACTGGGCTATATGTGTGAAAAATTACAAGTGCAGTAGGTAAGAGTGACTAAGGCTTTCAGCCCCATTTCTATTGCATCTACCACATTACACCTGATTCTCATGTAAGTAATAAGGATGCTATGACATCAGATTACAGCGCCCAAGAGAAGATACATAAAAGGCTCTTAAGTGTCCTTACCTCGTTCACAGAAAATGCCCATCATGGTTAATGTCCATTGTCAGCTGGGCTAGGTTTAAAATCACCCAGGAAGCCCAGCTCTGGATGAGTCCCTAAGGGTGTTTCCAGAGATGCTTCATTAAGATGGAGGGAAGAGGGATCCTGAACATGGGCAGCAGCTACCAGTGAACGGGGGTCTAAGACTGGATACAAAGGAATGGAGGAGAAAGCCAGCTGAGCCCTAGAGTTCCCTTTTCTCTGCAACATGGTCTACCGGGATGGGAAGTGTTACCATCACATTCTTGCCCTGGGGAACTCGTTCAAAGTAAGTCTTCTTTTAAAGTTGCTTTTGTAGGAGTTAGGCACACTGGTGAGAAAATGAACACACCGCCTCTTGTACAATGAAGGAAAGCAGGAAGCTTTGGTCTTGACAGCTCTTCCTTCCCTCTCCCCAGTTGGGAGACAGACAGTGGCTCTCTTTAGACAGCGATCATCAACAGGTGGAGGTGATGTCTTGGTTTGCATCTCTGTTGCTGTGATAAAAACCGTGACCAAAACCACGCTAGGAGGAAAAGTTGGTTTCAGGTTACTGGGCATTTGGGGAAGCTGAGGCAAAATTCAGCTCCAGAACCTGGAGCCAGGAGCTAAGGTAGAGACCACAGTGGAAGGCTGCTGACTGGCTTGCTCCCCACGGCTTGGTCAAGTCGCTTTCGTAGACAAGCTAGGACTATCTGCTCAGGTGTGGGACTGCCCAGAGTGGCCTGTGCCTCCCACATCAGTTAGCAATCAAGAAAATAAATGCCCCCCCAGACCAATCCGATGGAGGCCGTTCTTCAGTCGAGGGTCCTTCTCCCAAGATGACTCAAGTTTGTGTCAAGTTGACCGTGACCAACCAGCATGGTTGATGAGTTTGTAACAGAAGAAAATAAGGAGACATGAAATATAAGAAGAACCTGTAATATTTGTGGTTCTTTTTTTAACGTGGGAATAGAAACGAGAGAAGAGAGAGCACTGTGCTTGATGCTATTTGCAGCTTCAAATTCAACTTGATTGAAAAATCCACAATTTTTTCCCTCTTTTGAAACTTTAACTGTGACAAACTTAATTTAATGAACGTCATTCTTTCCACTCTTGCTATAGAAACCATGCCCTTATTATTGAGAGTATTCAGTCACAGGGGACACTTGTTGGGGGCCTTTCATCACTGAGAAACCAATGATGTCACCTCTGAACCATAGCCCGCATGGAAACCACCGAGGTGAAAACGCTCTGGCTGGGGTTCATCATTTATCCAGGCACTTTGCAAAACTCGGCCATCTTCTCACCGGACAGTCCCTCTGGCCAAGCCTTTACCTTTTGAGGTTGTCTGGTCTAAAGAAGCCATGCTGATCCTTAGAAGACCAAGCTAGAGCCGAGGAAAAAGGAAAGTCACTTACAGCAAAGACACACACTTGGTGGGCAAACGTCCTAAGAGTAGTTGTGGCATTACAGACCTTTCCTTTTGGGGCTTTTATAGGGCAGTGGGGCCTGGGCCCTTCCGTCTCTGGAGCACCTTAGTTTATTTGCAGGCCGGGGAGATGGTTCAGTGGATAGAGTGTTTGTTGTGTACGTGTGAAGGTCTGTTTGCACCCCAGCATTCATGTACAAGCAAGGCACAGTGGTCCAACCTGTGATCCCAGCAATGGGCACCCAGAGGATAGGATTTCCTGAACTCACTGGCTACCTAGTCTTATGCGATCGTGTCACAAAAACCAAGTGGAAAGTGACAGAGGGAGCCACCTGGCTTCTGCATGTGTGTGATCATGTGCATACATACATATACCACACACACATCTAAATAAAAATATATATCAATTTTTATTTATTTTTCTCATCCAATACATCCTGACTGCAGCTTCTCCCCTCTCTCACTCCTTCCAGTTCTCCGTTACCTCCTGTCTCTCCTAAATCCACTCTCTCTAGCTTCCCCTGCCCCCAGAAAAGCACAAGATACAATAAGACCAGACACAAGCCCTCAGAATGAGGTCAAAATATAGCTATGGTGCTTGTAGTATAAGATATGTAGTTAGCACACGAGTAGCTTTTAGTGAGGCAAAGCATGGTATAGTTATGCTATTGGAGGGATAATTTCAGTACTCACACAGCATGGTATAGTTATGCAATTGGAGGGGTAATTTCAATACTCACAAAGCATGGTATAATTATGCTATTGGAGGGGTAATTTCAATACTCACAAAGTCATTTAGTCATGAAACAAATGGATCTGAGATGTCAACCATACGATGCTGGTCTTTGTCCTTTGATATTATCAGCATGTTCCATCTGGAGTTCCGCAGTGGAGACCATCCACAAATCTAGGCTGTGGGTAAGCAATTCTTCGGATTTCCATTAAGATGGAGGATGGGGTAGGCCAGACACACTTGGTTCATTGAGACATTTAAAAAACAGGCCACAGACATAATGAAAGATGGCATGTCCAAGACATTCTTGCCTCTACCACTGGGTCTCCTCCCAGTACCATTAGTTTACACACACACCCCATTTCAGTGTTTATAGAGGACGTGTTGTGGATCTCTGTTTCCAGTGAGGATTAGCAGTAGTGCTCAGATGTCACCAGATTCTCCAGTGGCCCCACACATGATCCTTTCTGGGATCTTCTGTAACGGTGAGAATTGGACCCATCTCTGAGAGCCTTGGACCTAGAAACAGGGTCATACAGACTTGAGTCTAAGTTCTGCTACCCCCAAGAGTAGTTATCCACTACCCCCAACTAGTTAAGCAGCATGGGGATGAATTGACTAATTGTCCTGTGCCTTAGGCTCAGGTGCGGTGGGAATTAACAATAACCCTCTCCTTAGAATGAAGATCCAGCAAGTTGGGTCCTGCTGCCTAATGGACATATTTAACATTTGCTCTTTACTCTTGTTCCTACTCAAATTTCCAGCAACGGAGATCTATGTAGAAGTTAAAAAACATTTAAAGTGAGTCTTTCGATCTACCTTTTGGTCTATCTAAGTGTTTCTGTTGTTTTAACCACTCTGGCAGGCTTGGAGAGGCACCAGGACCCTTGTGCAGTGCTCACATGTGGCCTGCAGATGTCACTATGAACTCGGTTGATGGAGCCAGCCAGCGACTCATTGTGTTCTAGGGGATGATTAACTATGAAAGCACAGGAAGGGGCAAGGCTGCTGGCTTTCATATTAAATCATGCTATAGAACACAATGACCAGTCTTTGGTTTTTAAAAGGCAATAAGCGTAGTTCTGTCTTCCACTTTGGAAGATGTAGCACTACAAACTTAGTATGGAAAATATAAAAACACATGACTCGGGGTTTCCTGTTCTGAGCCTGTTGGATCCCTTTGCCACCGATGAAAACAAAATGTGATACATTTAACAAGAAATAAAAGTATTGCTTATGTTATTACAGTTTCTGCCATGTTGATCCTCAGAAATCATTCAAGAACACGAGAGACCGTGCCCGCGTTCTTCCCATCCCATACCTATGCAGCGCGTTTTTAGAGTCATCTCAATTAGAATGCCTCCGTGGCTGTCAAACTATGAAAGAGTGAATTATTTTAAAAGGTGGTATAGGTGTTTCTATAGAAACAGCGTGAGGGATTTTGCTGCTGGAGGCATTGGTATTCATTCAATAAATACTTAGTCAGCACCTAGTGCTCAAGGAGCAAAATAGCATGTTAGAGGATAATAGGAGCTACAGATAAAAGATGAAGGAGAGGAGGAGGAGAAAGGGGAGACATTAAAATACAAATTTAATATGTACCGCGTTCAGAAAAGATACCGGCTAAGATGTGAAATGAGACCTGTGTCGGAAGTATGTATCAGCCTAGGACACTCGAGACCGAGGGACCACTGCACGTGTTCACATGTCATCCCTGCCCAGGTGCCATGCCAACGTCCCTGTCATTCCCGCGTCATCCCAGTGTCTGTACTGCTTTCGAAATGGGCATGGCAATCACCCTCTGCAAGTGTTTGGTTTTTCATTTTACCTTCTGGCCTCGTGTCCATCCTGAATTTCTTTCTTGATCTCTCTGGAGGTTCTTTGCTGTTGTTTGGTTTGGGAGTAGCCCATGTGTTAGAAATTTCCTGTGATGTTCTCTCACTGAATTTCCTTCACTCTCCCATTGGAGATCAGCAGGCTCTAACTGTTTCTGAGTTCTCCACTCTCTCCCTCTCTCCCTCGATCTAGCTGTTTATTCTTTTGTCAGTTATTTTGGTGACGACAGCTTTACAGAAGTCAGATTTTATCATCATCATCATCATCATCATCACCATTATCATTATTGTTAGTAGTTTTATTAGTAGTACTATTATTGGTTTTCCTGGAACTTTTGTTTTCCCATAAGGACTATAGAATAAAGTTGTCAGTGTCCATAACCTAGTTTAGTGGAGTTTTTGACCAGGATTACATTAAATCTGTAACTCTTCTGGTCCCAGAGCTGTGATTATTTTTAGCTTCACAATGGTGCAAATGTGATACACACGCACAAAACAATGTACTGTAGCTGGTTTGTTTGCACTCTTTGGTCTTTGGGGGCCTGCGACCAAGCGCCCAAATAAACTCACTGAAACTTATTCTTACTTATGAATGCCCGGTCTTAGCTTGGCTTGTTTCTAGACAGCTTTCTTAACTTAAATTATCCCACTTATCTTTTGCCTCTGGGCTTCCACCTTTCTTTATTCTATATTCCTTTCTTCCCTTCTTACTCCATGGCTGACTGTGTGACTGAGTGACTGGCCCCTGATGTCCTCCTCTCTTCCCCCCCCCCTTCTCTCCTTCTTCTTTCTTCTCTTATTTATTCTCTCTGCCTGGCAGCCCCACCTGTTTCTCTCTCCTGCCTAGCCATTGGCTATTCATCTCTTTATTAGACCAATCAGGTGTTTTAGACAGGCAAAGTAACACAGCCTTACAGAGTTCAACAAATGCAACATGAGCCAATGCAGCACATATATTCCACAGTAATATACTTTGATTTTTGTTCTGTCCTAGGCTAGGGATAGGAGTACAGTGCTTGCTCATGAACCTGGAAAGCAGCAGTCACAGAGCCCAGTCAGCCACATGATCATCAAGGCAAACAATCCACACTCCACAATGTAAGTACTCCATCGCTAAGTGACGGTGCTTGGTAGTTTAAGTGTATCAAATTATTAAATGCATTTCAGTTCATGATAACTTTTATTTATGATGTGTGTGCTGGGATATAATCCCCTTGCAAATTAATAAACATCTGTAGCTGAAAAATTGCTTTCCCCCACCCCTGATGTTGACGATCACACCCAGGCTCTTACATAGCTTAGGCAAGCTTGTCTCTCTCTGAGCTATACATACCTCCCAGCCCTTGGTTTTCTTAGACAGTGTCACTACGTACCTGAGGCTAGCTCTGAACCTGTGATCTTTCTGCATGGTGTGCTTATGCGTGTCAGCCACCATTTCCAGCATAAGAATGGCCGCTTATCAATATGAACTCTTCCTACCACGCACGCAGAAATGGGCTACCGCTCCGCTGTGATCTTCCATCATGTTTTGGTCCATGATCTGTTTTCCTCGTCCAGGCCTTGTGCTAATTGTGCTAGGGTTACAACCCAGATTTCCAGTTTCTTGTGTCTGTGTTTTCTACCATAACAAAGTCAATGTTATATTGAAATGCAGCTCTTGTTTTGCTTCTAGTGAAAGACTTTCTACCATGGAGAGATTTTCATTCTTGTCTCTCAAAAGCTGACGGAGCCGAGCAGAGGGCTTCCCTGTGTCGGGCTCCCGACGTGTTCATCGTGAACGGCTCGCCATGCCTCACTGATGGGTGGGAAGATGGCAGAGGCATTTGAATAAGCTACAGACATGGTTGAAATGAAACGAAACAACTAGGCTCCACAGGCTCCATCAGGCACAGAGTGGGGACTTTTGAAAGGTGGGTGTGGCTGAAGAGGTCAGAGCGTCACCACCATCCACACACCCACTGGGTCGCTTTGTTTGGAAGTGTCTGCGTCTCTTTTTCTCTTCATATGTGGAAATGTTAGCTCTAACTTTGACTTACTTCATGTGCAGAATTCTTCAACTCTAACCTATGTGCCCTGGCCATGTGACAGATACGGTGGATTACGATGGCAAGTGAGATCCTCATTCAAATGAGGTGCATTTGTTTCTGGTAAGGTGGTTCCATCTACAGACACAAAACATCCACATAACACCTACTAGTGCCCTTGGCACCTGGTTTATAGCAGCTCTGACTGGGTTCCAGTTTCTGACGCCCTTTCAAGATTTCTCACTTGAGGAAAACACTCCTTCTGTTCTGCATGCATGGACCTGTGTCCACACCATGTTATGATAGTAAAATCCTAGTTACTGTGTTTATTGACCTCTGGGATGAGATCTTCATTAGGAAAAAAAAAACATTTTTCAGAAATTTAGGTTTGAGAAGCTTTCGTACACTAAGATATATGGTGTTTTACTGAAGCTTCTAGAAAGATCTGAGGGTGGGCAGAGCAACAGGGAGACAAAAGAACTGAGAAAGTGGTGGTAACTGTTGAGGTTGAGTGGCAGGCAGAAGGGACCCTGTGCTGAAGTCTTTCCTTTCTCTGTCTGAACATTTCATACCAATGCAAGGAGAGACTCTTTAAAAACCAGCAGAACTTGGACAGGAAAAAGGCCTTAGCTTGTAAAGAGCTTGCCTCACAGACACGGGGACCTGAGTTTGATGCCCAGAATTTGAATAACGAAGAAGGTACAGTCACAAATTTCTCATGCCAGCACCAGAAGATGAGACAGGAGGATCCCTGAGGCTCACTGGCCAGCTAATCTAGGCTAACCGAAGAGCCATGCTTCTCAAAGGAGGTGGACAGTACGCTTGAGGATGACATTTAAGGGTGTCCTGGACTCCACACCTATGTGCACACATCCACCTGCACACAGGAGCGCACACACGTGCACACACACATACACACACACAGACACACACGAAATGGTAGCAGAAATTCTTGAAATACTTGTCGTTAGTGTTTGCTGTGTGTAGAGCTTCCCTGGCCCTTCTGCAGAGATGTACTTTTGGGGAGAACCAAGGAATGTCAGGGTGTTGGCAGTCTCAGGGGTAGCTTACGATGAAAACGAGAGAGGAGCGGATGGGTGAACACTGGTTTGAGGACTTCAGTGACCTACAGACTTGCTGAGTGAAATCCCCACGAGGTTGGAGGACGACATCAGCAGTCACTACTGACCAGAGGTGACAGTTACTGCTATACATCAGACGCTGGGCTCCACCTTACATGTGATGTCACACTGAGTCTCCCTGAATTGCTGTTCAAGAGACATCACACTGATCTTCCTGAACAGCTGCTAGTGTCCTTATTTTACAGGGGAAAAGCGACTGAGAGAGGGCAACAGCCCACCCAGGCTCACCCTCTCTAAAGGACGAAGCCACATTCTGGACTAATATAGTCTCTCAACAGAGTTGGAATCAATTGATAATCTGTTTGTCTTAAAGACCCATTCCCCCAAAAGAAGTGAGCATGAGTAAGTGAACTGGAGATGCCAGCGGGAATTTCATCTCTGAACCAGGGTCAAGTCGTAGGCAAGCATGTGACTGTGATTCTGGGACTCTGGGTGTCGTACACTGAGGGAAGGGCAGGGCTAGACTAAGCTCAGAGAAATGAGGTCCCTGCCTGGGGTGTAAAACCCTAAAGAGATGTGCCAAATCACCCAACAGTCAAGATGCATGTTTTAATAAAACAACTAAGAATGAAAACCAAAGTTGTTATGAATAAAATGTCAAAACCTTAAGTACAAGTTTGTCCTCCATCACTCTAAAGTCTGGAGCAAGAGGAAAAATTAGCAAAGCTGTTCTCTCCTTTATTTAAAAGATTGATATTTAGTTCATTAAAAATTTTTGAAGCTATTTTTTTAAAAACTGTGTGTGTGTGTGTATACATGTATGTCTTAAGTACAGGGGTGCATACACCAGTATTTGTAGAAATCATATGACAACTCTTAAATTGTTTCACTCTTACAGGATTTGGGGATCAAACTCAGATTGTCAGTCTTGTGCTAAAGTCCATCTCTCCACTGAGGCATCTCACCAGCCCTGGTTTTTATTTTTAACCAAGATATGATGTATTCCTGAAGATTTTGGCCCCTCTCCAGGTCACTTACATTTTGTGCCAGGCATAAAAGAGTTTATGGTTAGGGGAGGTGCATAGGCTCAGCAGGCTTTCTTCCTCTCATGCCCAAAGTTATTCTGAAGAATGCCAGGGTATGCATGACCCAAAACAAAGACCCAAAGCCCAATCGTATTGGGTACACAATTCCTAATCTTATCAAGGAAATACTTACTAAGTTAGTGGTCTGGGCGCAGCAGGGAGTCGCTTTTGGGAAGCTGTGGTTTGAACTGACGCATTTACATTGTTGAAACTCAGAGCTTCTGTCGCTGCAATGATTCTGAAATCCAGCCTTCTTCTAATGTCTCTGTAAATATCTCTCACCTGAGAACCCAGACAAAATGCAGAAACTAACTCTGGTGTGTGCTTGAGGTGAGGCAAATACCCCCATGTGCTACTGCTGCTGTTGCTGCTGGTGATGGTGATGATGATAATGATGCTATGGCAATCACACTAGAGAGCAAGATATAAAAGTATAGCTTTTAGAAATGTGTATTTTACAAAGGTGTCCCAGGTGAATGAATACAAACACTGCATGGGTCACAGTTGACAACCTCTATTCTAGCTCTCTGGACGTCTCTTGGACTCTGTCCATTCTGCTAAACAGAAGGTCCACTTGACTCTCTGAGAGCCTTGTGCTGTCTTTGTTCACTCCTAGAAACCCCAAGAACCCTTGCTCATCTGAAGTGAAGGCAAGGATGAGGGAAGAAAGGAATGGGGTAAGAGGGATGGAGGGGAAAGGATCACTTATACCCTTGGGGCTTTTCCCATCTCATGCGACCAATAGTCTGTACTTCAGACAACACAGGGATTCATCTGTATTGGGCATTTGCTGATAAAGCATAGTCTTGATTTTCAAACTATTAGTGAGTTTTTTTCCTGGTGATTATTGTAGAATGGTTTAATATTTCAAGCAAATGATGTCATGGAGCTGATAAGATTGGAGAGAAAATTTAACAGGATCAGGGATAAAACAGCTATCGTAACATGTGACAGGAACGGCGACATAGACGAGCTAGTCAACAAGGGACTCCATAGGAAGAAAAAGTCTGTCTTTCTCACATGCCAGAGTCAGCAGTCAAGGCCAGGATGAGTTATTAGGATGGGCTTTTAGACGGTTGCTTTGACCTCTCCTAAAACATTTCTCTCATTTGCAAGAGTCGCAGAGGTTCATAGCGTGAAGGCATCCATTTGTCTGTCTGTCTCATTGGCCAGTGTCTTAGTTATTTCTTCTACTGCTGTGATAAAATGTCATGGCCAAAGAACTTACAAAAGCAAGTATTTAATTGGTTTTATATTTCCATAGGGTTAGAGTCCATGAGGGCAGAGGGAAGCCATGGTAACAAGAACTGCTGAGAGTTCGTACCTTAAACCTCAAGCAGGAGGCAGAGTGCACACTGAAAATGGTGTCAGTCTTTTGAAACCTCAAAGCCCACATCCAGCGACATGCCTCCTTCAACAAGACCACACCTCCTAATCCTTCCCAAACAGTTCCACTAACTGGGAACCAAGTATTCAAACAAAAGAGCCAATGGGGACCTTTCTCATTCAAACCACTACAACTACTTAGTTAGCCTACTCGCTAAGTTGGGAGTGAGGATGAGAGCAAACAGAAACATATCAGTACCATATCTGGAATATATGTTTCCTAAACAAATTCTGTGTCAGCATAGCCATTTGTACTAACCAGGTTACCGTAGTCACTTCTTTTGAGTTTTTCAATAAGAATTTTATAAAGTTTTGTTTACTATAGATACAAATGCATAATTAAGAAAACATTGACATACAGACTATTCAGACAATAGAACTTAACTCATCTTCCCTATAAATAAAGGCAATAATTCCTAATCAGAATTATTAGAAGCTACATTAAAGAAAGATAAAAACCCTCTGTTGTCATTCTGAAAAATGACCCTTGGCTGAATGCTATCTGATAATAAAATGCTGATGTAATAAAATAATGAAGACATTTGATCAAGTAGGGCACAATGTAGAAAAAGACTGCTCACTGGTTTCCCAGCCACACAGACTTGAATAATGACACAGAATCTATGTTAATTACAACACTGTTTGGCCAATAGGTCTTACATCTTAAATTAACATATTTCTATTATTCTGTATATTCTATGAGGCTGTAGCCTACCCATAAGGTTCCAGCGTCCTTCTCCTTTGGCAGCTACATGGTGTCTCTCTGACTCCACTTTCTTTTTCTCTGCATTCAGTTTAGTTTTCCCACCTAGCTCTATTCTACCCTACCATAAGCCAAAGTGACTTATTTATTAACCAATGTAATAAAACATATTCATAGCATACAAAGAGGAATCCCACATCAGAATCTTAAGATCTCCATGGTAGTGTGAAAAGAAATCTATAAAAATCTACTTTCAAAAAGTCAGTAGGAGAGCTGACTAAAAAGAATGTGTTGCTATTGAAGAAGGCCAGAAGAGTTCAGTTTCCAGCACCAACTTTGGTGGTCACAGCTGCCTATAACTCTACTTCCATGGGATCCATTGCTTTCTTCTGGACTCTGGGGGTATCTATGCATAACACCCACCCCTAGACATACATATATACCCATAATTTAAATATTAATATACAAATCTTTAAAACAAACTAATTTTCCTCATACGAAAGGTGATTTAAGACACACATTCATCTTTATTCCAATGTTTGATTCCATAAATTAATGAATGAAGAATAAAGAATGGAGACCAGTGGCAGAGAAGAGATTCTTCCACATTGGGAGGGTAGCAAGTGAGTGAATGAGTGATGTCTAAAGAATCATGAGGGGAAACCAGTCCTTCAGTCCTGGAGTCAGCCTCAGCGACTAGGTTCAGATGCCCCAGTGTGAGACCCACACAAGAGGCAGAGCTACAAAGGGAGGCAATAGTTGATGGTGTATATGCAGAGCTTATATAACCCCCATGCCTGCTCCAACCTAACACCAGTAGCCACTATATATGTCCCCAGAGGAACACGGAGCCCCAGAAGTAAAGCTGCCCACCGTCTACCAAAAGAGGTTTTCAAAAATGCCCCACTTCCCTTTGGTCACCTGACAGTCAACTCTCAAGTTTGCGAGGAATTTTTTGCTGTTCCTAAATATTACAGCACTTTT